ACAATCAATTCTAATCAATCATAATCAATCCTAATCAATCATAATCAATCCTAATTAATAGGAAATAAAAACGGAAACATGTTTGAATTCTAATTTTCTACACTCCCCCTCAAGTTGGGAGGTAAATATTGATCATTCCCAACTTGCCAATCAAGTCTTCGAATGCTGGACGGTGTAGGCCCTTGGTAAGGACATCTGCCGTTTGCTCTTTGGTTGGAACATATATCAAATGCACACTTCCATCATCTAATTTTTCTTTGATGAAGTGACGATCAACTTCCATGTGCTTTGTTCGATCATGATGCACAGGATTTTGAGCAATGCTAACAGCTGCCTTGTTGTCACAATATAGTTTTATTGGTAGGGAATATGAAATCTTCAACTCTTGAAGAAGTCTTCTCAACCAGATTCCTTCACAAACTCCATGAGCTAAAGCTCGAAATTCTGCTTCAGCACTACTTCTTGCAACCACTGTTTGCTTTTTGCTTCTCCAAGTAACAAGATTTCCCCACACATAGGTGCAATAGCCTGAGGTAGATCTTCTGTCTACTGATGAGCCTGCCCAATCTGCATCAGTGTAGATTTCAATTGTCCTTTTATACCCCTTTTTAAAGAATAATCCTCTTCCTGGAGTATTCTTGAGGTATCTAAGCACCCTATAGACTGCACTAAGATGCTTCTCCTTGGGTGAGTGCATGAATTGACTAATCATACTCACCGCAAAGGCAATGTCAGGACGCGTATGAGATAAGTAGATTAGTTTGCCAACCAATCGCTGATATTGTTCTTTATCCACCTCATTTCCATCTTCAATACCTAACTTGGTATTAGGTTCCACAGGTGTCTCAGCAGGTTTACACCCTAACATTCCTGTTTCCAACAAAAGATCTAGAACATATTTCTTTTGTGTTAGAGTGATACCTGTTTTGCTTCTAGCAACTTCCATACCAAGGAAATATTTGAGAGTGCCAAGGTCTTTGAGTTCAAATTGAGCTGCTAGAAATTTCTTCAAGGTGTTCAATTCCTCAATATCATCACCTGTAAGAATTATATCATCTACATATACAATAAGAATAGCAATTTTACCATCCTTAGAGTGTTTGTGGAAGAGAGTATGATCAGTCTGTGCTTGAATGAAGCCTCTTCTTTTGACTGCTTGTGTGAATTTGTCGAACCATTCTCTGGGAGACTGTTTCAATCCATATAGAGACTTTTTTAGTTTACACACTGATCCATTTCCCTTTTCAAAACCAGGTGGAGGATCCATATAGACTTCTTCATGTAAGTCACCATTTAGGAATGCATTCTTCACATCTAACTGTTGCAGAGGCCAATCTAGATTGGCAGCAAGAGATAAGAGAACTCGGATGGTATTGACTTTAGCAACCGGAGCAAAAGTCTCATGATAATCTATCCCATGAGTCTGAGTGAAACCCTTTGCAACCAATCTTGCCTTGTATCTGTTGATGCTATTATCTGCATTGAATTTTATTGTAAACACCCATTTGCATCCTACTGCCTTTTTTCCTTTGGGTAGGGTCACTATCTCCCAAGTTCCATTTCTTTCTAAAGCATTCATTTCTTCAAAGACAGCATCCCTCCATTTTTTATCATTGAGAGCCTCATGTATATTTCTCGGTATCTTTGTACTATCCAACATAGTATTGAAAGCACGAAACCCTGGGGACAACTTTCCATATGAAATATGATTAGAAATAGGATGAGTAGTACAAGATCGAGTACCTTTTCTGAGAGCAATGGGCAAGTGTAGATTATTTTCACCATGACACTCAAGTATTGGGGTGCTGGAACTAGAACATGGTTCAGAATCCTGGCAGTGTAGAGGCTCTGGGTTATTCACACTTTGAGGAGGCTTTCGCCTGCTATAGACTTGTCCCCATTCTGTAGCTCCCCCTGTTTCTAAAAGTAGAGGTAATACTGTGGCATTAATAGGTTCCCATGACTGATCTTCATCTACTCCTATAGACTCCCCCTGAAGAGAAGTCGAGGGGAAGAAAGGGTCATTCTCAGAAAAAGTGACATCCATAGAGACAAAGACCTTACGAAGAGAGGGTGAATAACACTTATAGCCACGTTGAGTAGGAGAATAACCAATAAAGACACACTGGAGAGACTTAGGATCAAGCTTAGACCGTTGATGGGAGGGAATATGGACAAATACAACACAACCAAATAACTTGAGAGGTAAGGAGGAGACACCTCGGAAGGAAGGGAAGATACGAACAAGACTAGAAAGAGGAGACTGAAATTTCAGAATGCGAGATGGCATTCGATTTATCAGATACGAGGCAGTGAGAACTGCCTCTCCCCAAAGATATTTAGGAACACTCGTGGTAAACATAAGAGCCCGAGCAACTTCAAGGAGATGTCGGTTTTTTCTTTCCGCAACTCCGTTTTGTTGGGGTGTGTCAGGACACGAGCTTTGGTGAAGGATGCCATGTTGGGAAAGATATTCTCCAAGAATAGAGTTAAAATACTCTTTGCCATTATCTGTACGAAGAATTTGTATAGCAACTTGGAATTGGGTTTGAACCATGGCATGAAATTTTTTAAACACGGATGCAGCATCGGACTTATCCTTTAGAAGATACACCCAACAAACTCGAGAATGGTCATCAATGAAGGTAATGAACCATCGAGTACCTGAAATATTTTTAACACGGGCTGGACCCCATATGTCGCTATGAATTAAGGAAAATGGGAAGAGTCATGGTGAACTTTAGAAGGATAATGAGCAAGAGTATGCTTGGCAAGTTGACAAATATCACAAGAAAACAAACTTGGACTTTTATTAATAAATAAGTTTGGCAACAACTTCTGAAGATAAATAAAATTTGGATGGCCTAGCCTACGATGCCACAGCATAACATCATTACATGAATCAAAAGGAAATATAGAGTTTTTTTTTACGAAAACAGCTTCATGAGTCACATCCTCCTCAAAGTAGTAAAGTCCACCATCCTCTCTAGCACTGCCAATCATCCTCTCCGAGTCCTGTTCCTGAAAAACACAACCATGTGGAAAGAATTTAGCAAAGCAATGCAACTCAGAGGTGAGCTTGCTAATGGAAATGAGATTACAAGTCAGAGAAGGAACATAAAGAACTGATGTCAAAGTAATCAGCTCAGAAAGTTTAATGGTGCCGTGTCCCGCAATCTGGGAAAAACTGCCATCGGCGATCTTGACCCGAGAAGGTTCAGAATATGGAGTGTATGAACAAAACAAGCCAAGATTACCCTGTCATATGATCAGAGGCTCCAGAATCAAGGATCCAATGATTTTGACTATCAACATGGAAAGTTGTACCTTGCTGGACCACATGTCTAGTGGCCTTAGGAGGTTGCTCGTGGTAATAAAAAGAGTGTTTTGAGGAAGCCATGAATAAAAAGAGAAGGGTTGACCGTTGATGAAAAATCAAGTTTTGTAAACTTTTGATCTGACCTCTGGAACAGGAAGGGGAGAAGCCGGCGAGAAGGTCTGTGCAAGTCGCGACGGAAAAAAAACGTCTGGAAGGCGGCGCGTGCAGCGGCTGACGGCGATGGGTCCAGCGGCGGTCGACTCGTCGGATCCTTCTGAGTCGAATGGTCACCTCACTTTTTTGATCGGAGGTCAGTAAACTAGGTTTCTGTGTTGGACAGATTCAAGGCAGTGTTTAGGAGGTGTTTGACGGTGATGGAAGTGTTTGGATGGTTATTTCAGATTTGAATTAGGGTAGGAACGAACCCGCTCTGATACCATATTAAGAACCTTGGGATACACCACCCTCAAAGCTAGCTCAAAGGGTGAGAGAGTGCCCAAGGCCTTATAAAGGCCACATTAGTTGCACATCTAACCAATGTGGGACTATATATCTCAACACGCCCCCTCACGCAAGGGTGGAAATGCACAGGCCCAATTTTTGGTTTACCTTTTGTGCTTTTTTTTTTTAATTCTACTTCTTAAAGCGGGGGACGGTGAGACTCTGATACCATATTGAAAAGAAGTTTTTGTATATTGATATTGAATAAATTACATGAGTGAGTATTTATACAAGAAAGAATCGCTAAGAATGACTAAGCGATTACTAATCAATCCTATCACAATCCTAATCACAATCAATTCTAATCAATCATAATCAATCCTAATCAATCATAATCAATCCTAATCAATCATAATCAATCCTAATTAATAGGAAATAAAAACGGAAACATGTTTGAATTCTAATTTTCTACAAAAGTAATTTTCTATTTTTCAATTTTTATTCAGAAATTTTTTTTCTTGGTTTTTTGAGAAAAGAATACTAAAATAAATGTTTTGGAAGGTTTTTACATCTTTTTAAATTTATAAAAATTATTATCAATTTATTGAATAAATTTTTAATTATAAAATTTACATTTGTCTTAATTAAATTGATCTCATAACATAAAGCACTACGAAGATACGACCAACTCCGAAGTTGAAGTAACGAAAAGACATAAACAAACCTAATGGAAGCTCGTGTCTGAGATCAATTGACCAATGAATGACCATCTTCCCAATGAATGACCATCTTCTTTGAATCTTTGCTACTATACTCTTATATATTAATTTTGTATTTTTAACATTTAATCGAATATTTTTTTTATGTAATTTAAAATTCTTATACGAATTCACTAAAAATGTATCATATTACAAGTATAAGTTTAATATATGATTAGGGAGAAATGTGTATTTATATTCTTTCACTCTCGTAAAGATGTGAGACTCACATTTTTTAAACTTTTTTCCTCCACTCTCTTTCATGATTTATCTTTTTCTCTCACTTAAAATGACACAATTTTATATTCTTTAAAATAATACACATATTTCCCAATCATTAACATGAAATAATTTACACAATCAGATATCATATGCTATTGGATTGAATTAAAACATTATATATGAAAGTTAAAAATAAAAATCATTATTTCTATCCTTGAATTCGCTTCTTATGCCATGCTTCACTTTTTGACAGTGACACACTCACACACCCATTCCTTTACGTTTCAATTTCATGATCTTTTTTATGCCTTCAATAAAGCAAATCCATTTTATACCCAAACCAAGTGTAACCAACCCACTCTACTCACTAATCCAAAACCCGAAACTCTTCTATTAATTTTGAGCAGCACAGGACACAGGTTACTAAAAAAAAGGGTTAAGGGCTTTTTCCAGAAAAGCTTCCATCTTACTACTTTATGCTAAATACAGTGATTACTTCCAACTAATCAGAATTAATGGAAGAACACCCAGGTTTTTCAAAGAGAAGTTTTGAACTTTCCCTGTAACTGCAAAGGTTCAATTTTTTTTATTCTTTTTATTTTTTTATTTTTGTTTTGGCTGGATATCAATTTTTGGTTGCGTATTCATGTGGATTTTTGTTCTTATTTCAGTTTCTGTTTCAGTTTCAGCAAAATGACAAAAGGGTGTGTGTAGTGTGAGGAGGGTTGTTCTTATTATGGTTAAGTACAAGGGTAGCTTTGGATACTTTGCTTCTTGAAGAATGCAAGTATATTTGTGGGGTGGATTCCATTTATCTTCTTGAAGAAAGAAGGGACTTTTGGCAATTTCAGTGAAGTGGGTATCTGTTTTTGGGAGCAAAAAGAAGGATGATTCAATTGTTGTTCTTGGTGCTTTTCGCGGAGAGTGTTATGGCATTCCTTTTGTTGGTGAAGATTGGGCCATTGAGAGATCTTGTGATGAAGACTCTGGATCAGATTAAGATGGGGAAGGGTCCTGCTACAGTGAAAACCATTGCTGGTACCATGTCTGTGATTCTCCTTTCAAGCCTTATGAGCATTGTCAAGATCCAGAACAAAGGTGCTAAGCTTGGTACTATGTCACCAATGGATCAAGTTCTTTGGAGGACTCACTTGCTTGAGGCTTCACTGATGGGTATGTTCCTACTCTTTTCTTTTCTTCTGTGTCATTTGTATCATCTCTCTATTTTGATTATTTTTTTTTTTAAAAAAAAAAAACTGGTTATGTGTTTTTTATTTGTTCGGGGGCTGTTAATACAAAATTAACTTAACTTGCAAATGTTGTGTGGAGGTGTTGTTGTGAATGTTTTGCGTGACACGTCTTGTGTTTGGCCTTCGGGTGAAGAAGGGTGCCCATATTTTTGTCTAGTCTTTGAATTTAAATGTTGTTTGATACATTTCTGTGCTTACCCATTTGTTTCAATTTTAGACAGGAAATGTAGTTGACACCAACGCTTATTCATTGAGTAAGAAAAAAGTGTGTTTGAATGCTAAGAAGCACCGATACTCCTTAATTTTTTTTTCCAACGTATCGGATACGCGTATCGGAAACGTATTGTTTGGTAATCTACATCCTGTATCATCGAATAACGTATCGAAAACGCGTATCGGTGCTTCATAGTTTGAATGTGTTGTAGTTCTGTGGTTTTTGTTTATTATCTTTTGTCATGCAAGGAAAGCATGTGTATAGATACTGAGGTTGTGTTTGGATAAAGAATTTTTAGAAGGTGTTGTAATTTTTTATGGTTGGATAAACAATCAAAGAATTGACAAATACCAAAGATCTTAATGGGGTAAATAAGGAGTCTGAAATCCAGCCCAAATAGGTGGAATTTCAAAATTCATAAACTTTATCTACTTGCTCCTCCTCTAGCTGCTGTTGCTTGAGCCAACCAAATGAACCAATGCAGAGCTTCAATTGTACAAGGCTTGACCTGATTGGGCTCTTTGTGTCCTTCAACACCATGCCTTCTTGAAGCTTTGTCTAGTACATTGCCATGATATCTAGGTCTTCTGGAGCAGAAAGTTTAATCTCGAAAGGGGTTTGTTTGAAGAACATCAGAAAGAGACTTGTTTTCATGGAATGAGATTTTTACAGGAATTGTTAAGAATTGAAACTAGGTAAAGCCTGCAAGGTGCTTGCGTTAATTCTTGAAAAGGATGTTGTTTGGTAAACTGGAATGTTTTGTGATTCTGCCAAGAATTGGTATGTTGATGAATGAAATGGTATCTATATATAGTGATGGTATCTTTCTCTATTGTGATGTGTCAAGTTAATGGATGAAATGGTCAAATTTGTTATTTTTATTTGTAGAGCCGTATGATTAAGGCATCTGAATGTTGAAAGATTTGGTGCTCTGGTATTGGACTTGTTTAAGAAAACTATATACGTGTATTTAACATTCTCAAGCCAATAATAAACTCAAAAGGGATACTGTTCATAAGTAATTTACTATTAAAAATTGACACATAGAAAGTTCCTTTTGGACTTACTAATCAGCATAGTGTCAATTAATTTTCTAATTTAGTGCTCAAGGTATTCCATATGCATTATATGCGCAAATGGCTAGTAGCCCATATTAATGAATTTTCCATCTTTGTTGATTGGTTTGTAGTTGATTTTGATCACACATGCCTTTATAGCGTAGTTATATGTTCATTATGTTAATGAGTCATGACTTCATTCTTTAACTTTAATTATTAATAATTTTTTTGTGCTAATGATGTGACTCCACGAGAAATGAGTGCTGAATAATTAATATTATTCTTTAGTATTGATTATTCTTTAGTATGAACAGAATTGGTTACTGGAATTTCAAACAGCTTGTAGAGTTACTTCACTTTTGTTGAGAATAAGCACATATTTTATTAGTAACATTCACCCTTTAGTTTGAAAAAAGAAAGAGTAGCTGGTTAACATTTTGTGTACTTATCTGAAAATGGAATTACATGTGAATGGATTATATGCTTGAATTTGGATGTCAGTATAAAATATGTTCTTGATTGTTGTACTTCTACATTGAAAGTCAGAAAAAGAGTTTGTACCTTTCTTTATTATGCCTAATTTTGAAATGTTTTTAGTTAGAATTTATTTGATCTTTAGTGAATTTCTTTAGAATGAATTGCTGCCATAAATAATGACGTTGTGCATAAAAATTAATGCATTACTTTCTTGGTGAAATTTTAAAAATTTATATCAAGTGTAGCTGTGCAGGGTCCCTTTTAAACCCCATTATGCTTTTATCTGTCAGTATACCACCATGCCCGGTTAATTCTCATCTTTTACTGCTTTCTGTATCTGATACCATTATTATTGTGTGTATTGGATGTATGTTATTATGTGCGTGTATTTAATGTTGATCATGTGTTGAAAATTAATAATCAAGAACTATCAACAAGGTAATGAGCATTATAGAACATGATACGTCAGCCAAGCTTCTGTATGGAATGACAATGATTCGCATGCTGACATTGCAATACAACAATTAAGTGCAGCATGGAAAGAGTTTGTGTGTGTATTTTCCAAATATTGAAGTTTGATTTTCTTATTTGGGAAATGTTGAACTGGATATAAGGATAAGGAACGGATCTGTTTTCAAATTGTCAGCTAATATTATCCTCTCTTTTTTGTGTTATCCAGTAGTTTTATGTTTTAAGTTTTATTTATCAGCAGTGCTTGTATCATGATTGTTGGTGTGATGATGTAGAAATGGGAGCAGTTTTGACAGTAGTGGTGGTGGAGAAAGTATGCTGAAGGTTGTTTGTCTTTCTGATAAGGGGGAGGTGATATCACCAAGGTGGTTTTGTCAGTTGTTGATCTGATGGTTTAGTTAGTGTGATTGAGTGAGTGATAAACATGGTAACTTGTTGGCTGCATTGGTGGCATGTTTGGTTGTTGCCAGGTCTTACTGAGCAGAAGCAACAATTGCTGAATGCTTTGTCGTAAAGCATTTCATGAATCCATATGTATTTTGAAGTGTCGTGTCAGCATCTGACTTGAAGTGTTCATGGTCCTTCCTTGAAGTAGCTTTGTTGAAAGCCTATTTCCTACAGAGGAAACAGCTATTAGTAAGCACACTAGTGTTCACCTAGTGAATATGCTTCTTATTAGAGATATACGACCTATGATATATCACCACCCTGTAAAGAATATTTTAGGAGGAGTTTTAAAGGCAAGGTCTGCATTCAGAATAACATCAGTAGCTACCTCACAAAGGCTGACTCAGCAGCAAAACCGTTAGGAGGGAATATGCTGCACAATTCTGTTAGTAATGAATCACCAAAGGCATGATTACAAAGGCACATTGCATAAATAGAGAGAAAAGAGGTTCAGAAGGGGAGGTTGGAGTTTGGGCATTTTGGGCTTGGGAGAGAACAAAACCTCTCAAAAGTGCTGATATTATTTTCTTCTTTTAGAGTTGATTCCCTTTTTTTCGTACTTAGAGCTTTTGTCGAAAGTGCTGATATTATTTTCTTCTTTTAGAGTTGATTAATGGTTCCCATTTTTGTACTTGGAGCTTTTCTTGTTCATATTCTTCACCGTCTTTCCTTTTACATGAATTCAACAGTGTACTTGTCTTTCTTTTTTCATATAAAATACAGAATATCCAGAAGTTTTCTTTGGCCAATTCCTCTTGTGTGTCTTTTCATCAAGTAGCTACTGATACAGTTCTTATCAACCTAAATCTAGTTAAGTAGTTGGAGATATAATTATCTAAAAATGTGTACTATTTCCATATGTAAATTTGAGAATACTCTTTAAATTTTTTGCATTTATTCTCATTTAAATTGCTTATATTTGTTCCTAGATAGCTTATTCTTTCCCTTATAATCTCCCTTAGTTATGTGTTTTTAATGCCAATGCGGGGCAGCGAGGATTATAAATAATTGAAGCATAATAACATCGATAGAATATAGTTTTGATTTATGCTTTCACTTCAACATTGTATTGGTGATATTAGGTTTAATTAATATATTTGGATTGTTATGACGTTGAAGTTGCTGGACCAGCTTATATTTCGTTGTCGTTAGTTTTTCAAGCGTAGACCAAATATTATAGGAATACTACTGGAAATTATATTTGCTGTTGTGATGTTTTATCTATTTTGGTAGATGTTGTGATGTTCTATTTTGCTTGATCATCACTAGTATTCTATTCAGCAAGTTTATTCTCTAATTAACTGTTCAGTAATGTGACTGTATATATATATTTTTTTCTGGAGTTTGTTCAGTTTGAACCTCTGGTAAACCTATGTTCTTTATTCTGCTTGGTCTTTCAGTTACCAATGTTAATGCATCAATCTACTAATTACTCCTAATCAATTAAAACCTGAATGTTACTATTTATAGTTAGAAGACCTATTTTCTTTTTCTGGGTGGTCCAATCTGATGTTTGATTTCCTTCCTTTGGTCTCAAAGACAACCCTAAGTTATTACTTTGGGCTTGACCACAAACTTCTCTTGCAGCTGAATCCTCGATTAAACCTTACAATAGCTGACAAATTCCCATTTTCTTGGCTTCTGCTTTGTTTCCCAACAACCAAGTACGTACAAAGTTTAATATTTTAACCTTCCTTAAGCTGTCCTATTCCTGCAACTAAAGCATTCCTTAACGTTATAATGTGTGGAGTGAAACATCATTTTCGTGTGATACAAAGGGGTACAGCAGTGGAAAATGGAGGGAAAGCTGGTTTTCTAGGTGCTGTTACATCAGTGAATATTACTTTGGGGAACAAGCTTTTTAATTGTTTTTATACAGGAGGTCTTAGACTTGGTATGGGAAGACGTAGGGTAGGCTAAAGTGGAGGTAAAGCGACCTCAGTGGGATTCAATCCCAGGATCAAGCAATTCCCAAAGGGACTTTCTGTCACTTGAACAAAGGCTTTTGGGTGGTAACAATGGTTCTTCTACTGGGGGAAAGATATAAAGGAATCAGGCTTTTATTTATTTATTTATTTTTTGTTGTGTGCGTGTGTTCCATTATTTATAGCTGGGGGAATGCAAGGCTTTTCTACCTTGGACAAGAGAGTAGAAATTAGCAAGGGCAGCAACTGGTAGTATATTCTATCTGTTTGCTATCAATCTAGGGAAGAATCAACACATGTTTCTTATTGTTGAAAAACATGTAATATTGTAATAGGCTACATAGTTGTGAGGGATGAAGTTGCACATTGTGTATCTTTTAATGTATAAGTGTTATAGTCTGTCTATATAACAGAATCTCCTCTTTACTATTTAGATTCGCGGATTGCATCATATGTCTCTCATTTTCTGCATTATTCAACACTTATATTAAAGCTAGATTATCTTGTGTTAAAGGAGTTAATTTGATCTTGCAGGTTTTGCATTATTCCTTGGATTCATAATTGATCGTTTGCATCATTATCTCCAAAAGCTTGTTAATTTAAGGAGTAATGTGGGAGCTTCTAAAGAAGAACTGGAAAGCCTTAAGAAAGAAAAGGTCGAGCTTAAAGAAAAGGAAGAGAACGCTTCCAAGGAGATAAAGCAGCTGAAGGAACAAATTTCAAGTATTTCACAAAGTTTGAAAAAGGTGATGGTGGAATGTGAAGAGAAGGACAAAAGAGTTGAAACTGCTGAAGCTCATGTTACTTCCCTCCAAAAGCAAGCTGCAGATCTACTACTGGAATATGACAGGCTCTTGGAAGATAACCAAAATCTTCAGGCTCAAGCAATAAGACACAAGAATTGAGGAAAAAGTGGCAAACTAAGTTGCATTGAACCAAGTTTTGGGGAAAAGATACCACCAGGACCATCATTGATTTTGTTCCAAGATCATCTTTACTATACAAAAAAGAAAAAGAAAAGAAGATGAGAATGATGATTTTTCAGTCCTTCCTGAAAATGCAAGACTGACCAAAATAGCTTTGGGTTCATGGTTACAAATTTTGCAGTTCTTTCTGTTGAATCTCTACCCTCCACCTCTCCCTACCTCCCCATTCAGTTTGCCTACCATTTTGGTGTTTAGGTCATTGCTGAACAAGTGTCCTTTCTAATTTTTTTTTTTTTTTTTTGGAATTTTAACCATTTTAAGTTTTATTTGAATGAATATAGTTTTCTAATTCTGGATCATAGGCGAGACAAATGCATTTCAAGAATAGAAAATGTTCTGGATCGTATTATGTACCTCTTGTCCAGTTAGGCAAAATTGGGTACTACCTATCTTTAAGTAAAATTTCTCTATAAATAGAGGGTTAAGCTTCACAGACATTCTCTTTAGAACTCTAATCCTTATTTGCTATCACTAGGGTTGGCAAAACCGAGTCAACTCATCGGGTTGGCAAAAACGAGTCAACCCATCGGGTTGGCTCATAATTTGTCAAAAATGAGCCGGATTGGGTTGACAAAAATGAGCTGCCAACTCGAGTCAACTTAACCCGAGTCAGTTCGAAAAAAAACGAGTCAATCCGTATGTCAAACGAGCCAGTTTGTTGGTTGAGTTTTTTTTTTTTTTTTTTTAAATACAAAATATAATATACAAAATTCATATATATTGTCATCGTCTTTTTTCCTTCTCTAAACCTAAGTTTCTAATCTTCTCACATCCTTGTCATTTTCATATTGTTAGACTGTGCTGGCTCTGTTTGGTTCAAATATCTTATCCACTTGGTAGCAAGTGGTTATGATTGTTTCTTGATGCTGGTGCAAATTTATTGTGAAGAAAATTCAAAACTAGAATATTTTGCTTTTATTTCTCATTTTGTAACCCTTTCTTTAAGCTGATGGAAGCCACATAGCTGGTGCATTAATACTATAGGTTCATTTAAATAGGCTGAAAACGAGCCAACCCGCGAGCCAATTTTCGAACCAACTCGCGAGCTATTTTTTCAAGCCAATCCACGAGCAATATTTTTGAGCCAACGCTAACCCGACTCGGGTCGAGTTAAGTTGGATTTTTTGGCTCATTTTTTTTTCTTCGAGCCAACCCTAACCCGACTCGTTTTTTTCGAGTTGCATGCGGGTTAGGCCGAGTCGAGTCGGGTTGGATTTTCTGGCTCATTTTTTTTTCGAGCCAACCCTAACCCGACTCGTTTTTTTCGGGTTGCATGGGTTGGGCCGAGTCGAGTCGGGTTGGCCCGTTTTGCCAACCTTAGCTATCACTTTGTCGCATATAAATACAAAACACACTCTATCTCCGGCTTCTTGTTTGTGGACAATGATCTGTCTTCACCTGCGGTATCCACCTGATTCACAAATCCAATAACAATCTTGATCTATTAGGATCAAACAGAAAAAAAAAACTGAATTTCAACTTGTAATTGTGTGTAAGGAATTTTGAGATCGTCACTTCAAAAGCTAGCTCAAAGAATGAAAGTGACCAAAGCTTTATGAAGGCCACACTAATTGCTTATGCAACCAATGTGGGATCCCTAACATTGCCACCTCTTTTAAGACTGATGACAGTTGCTTTCACTTTACCGATATTGATCTGACGGTAACCCTTTTCCCCTTTTAGGGCTGTTTCACCCACTTATCAGTATTCAGTGTCCAAAGACACCTTAATCTAGCTTATAAGTAACCTTTTTCATGTCCTTACCTCTCAATGAAAGCACCAATGTAAGAAACTTGAGATCACCAAAGCTAGCTCAAAAGGTGAGAGTGCTCAAGATCTTATAAAGACCACACTAATTGCTTATGCAACTAATTTGGGATCCCCAACATTGTGCTTGAAGAAGCAACTTGGCGTTCAATTTCATGCAAAACATATTTTTGTTAGAAGTTGCTATTGACGGTTCTCATATTAGCAACCATTGCATTGTCGGGTATCAAACCTGTGTAACGAATTTGTTTGCATGATTTCGCATACAATTTTCTGAAGCATAAGATTTTGATTGAGTAATTACAGAGAAGTAATCTATTGCAGTAGGTACAGCTCGTAGATAGAAGCAATTCTTTTTTGGAAACAAGTTCTATTTTTTTTTTTTTTCAACTGATAATTTTTGTGTGTCTAGATAACTTCTTGCATCAGATTGAGAACTAAAAGATGTTTATACTTGTACATCCCAAATTTAATATATCTTCAATAAAAGTATCTTAGGTACAAGATCTAATCATGAAGTTAATCATTGTTCTATATTTGTTTAGTCCAACGATGGACCGTTCTAAATGTTCTACATTTATTTAGCGTGATAATGGCAAGTTTAATAATCTTCATATTATATCTCATTATCTTCTTAGAAGTAGAACATAATTCACTTTGTTTGACCTAGCTCGACATGTTTTACCTATTGTGACCACATTTGTTTAGCATAGCACGAAATATTTAGATTTGCGCAACCATGCATGTATGCTCAACCGGTTTGGAACAGTGGCTACGTCAACATGGCTTTGCCTAAGTAGGAATAACTTTATTACTACATCAATAATTTAATCCTTGTGGCTAGGAGACAATCTTATCGGCCACGATTTTAATGATAAGGTTCATAAAAAGAACAAGAGAAAATAATCATTTTAATTAATTATTGATCGTAGAGATCTATTAACGAATGACTAAGATTTTTCATATATTTCAAAAAGACACTTATGTTTTGTAGTTATGTTTGTGCTATTTCTCAATTATGAGAGAATATCTCTCATGTTATAAACACACGTGTGGTGGGATCCACTATTTATAAAAAAGAAGAAGAGTATTACAGGTTTTGATGGGTTTATTGGAGATAAAGCATAAGAGTAATTTTTTCCTTTCTCAATATGCATCAAAGGCACTTTGTGTCCTTTATAAAAAAAAGATTAAATTCACATGAAAAAGATGTTTTAATCTTTATCTTTTTCTGGTGGCTTTCTTATATAGTTGTACTTGTTTTCTTTCTTCGCTGTTCTTGTAGAGGGAAAAAGAAAAAGAAGTTTATCACCAGTGTCTTGAATTTTAAACATGTTTTTGCTGAGTCAGGAATCTCAGTTCCCCAGATTGCAAGCTTTGAACATACTCAAGAAAAAAGAAAATGCCATCTCTAATGAATAAGGCCTTGATTGCATGCATGACCCGAGGTCCTATTGGAGATCAATGATTCTATGTTAATCAACGGAAGAACTAACCGTTCTTCATTCAAGATTTCAAGCCATTGGACATATTCCCCAATCTTTAAGAATGTGTGCGATAATGGTACCTTACTAGGTCTCTGGCAATGTTAGCTTTGCCTCGGGCCCTCTTAATATTGGTTCAGAGAGCCTATTAGTATTATGTTAGACAATCCTAAATAGTGAGGGATGTCCAACTTTAGCTTAGAGCTCAGTCAAATAAAAGTATCGTCCAATAAGACCCCTGGCATTGGGCAACAACTCGTTGAGTATTAAATTCGATTTTGATCCATTGACTTAGTATTATTTGGTCCAAATATATTAGAAATAATTTAACCCAATTTCTAGAATAATCTACTCAAATACAGGGAGTCAGGGAGTGTATTGGATTGAGATTTCAAAGGATTTTAATGGATTATTTTTAGACAAAAAAAATCCATTGGTATTCAATTAGGATTTTAAAGGATTGGAAATAAGTCATGTAGTATTCGATTAGGATTTTAAAAGATTATTTTAGAGTCTGTCCAAATCCGATGGTATTCAATCAGGATTTTAAACAAAGGAAAAACAATCTTGCGGTATTCAAAAATCTTACGATTTTAATGGATTTTCTATTGATGTGGATTTTGTGAGATTTTTTAGTGAGAAATATAAATAAGATGTCTTTCTCACAATCTCACCCTAACCCCTAGGACTTCTTGAGATTTCTCTATTGCAGTTTTTGCTTCTTCCTTTAGTGGGTCGACCCACTCGAAACCGAGTTCTGCCATGGGAGTTTCATCAAAGCTCAAAAACAACATATTTTTGAGCGATTTTCATCATAAAATAATCCAAAAATAACAACCCAACAAGATTTTAAAATTCATCTAAAAAACAACAGATTTTGGAGCAATTTTTGAAAGTTCAAAAACGATTTTTCAAGCTATTGGTCATGATTTTTCTTGGTATGAAAATGTATGATTTTTGTATTAAAAACAACATAAAATAGTGGAAAACAATAGGGTAACAAAAATCCCAAACCAATTTTAATTTTACATCAATGAAACAAGATCGATTTAAAGAAAGATTGAAACTTTCATAATATGAACCTTATGTTTCATAATAATACATTTACGAATGAAATTCTTTCGTTACATAGAAACGATTTCAAATAATTTTTGTGTCAACAGATCACTAAAAACTTATTTTTCAAAACCTCCAAAGCAATTTAAGATTTTAATGTATCGATTGAAAATAATTTGAGAAATTTTCTAAACTTTTATGTAATAAAACACAGAAATTCAGATTCAAAATTTTCTTGGAATACTCAATAAAAACATGCATATAATATATAGTTAGAAAACTCTCATCACGTAGAACAAAAACTCCAAGGTTTACAATCAATTGCAAAAAATTCCAAACGAAAATTTATCATGAATTTTACTAATTGAGAAAATTATATTACGTTTTACTTTTTTTATTAATATCTTTGCATTTCTTTGTTAACTTTTTTTATTGACTCTTGTAATTTTGAATATTTGTTAGAAATTATATGGTTTTTTAAAATCTTATAAATCCATATTGTTCTTTCAAATCTTATAAATTCTATTAAAATTCTTTAAAATCCAATCTTATGAAATCTTGATTGTAAAAAAACTCTTTTAAAAAAGTCTTTAAAGTCTCTCCAATTTTGAATAGTCTTTTAAATTCTATAAGAATTTTTATCTCAAAAAAGTCTTTTAAAATTCTAATCTAATACACCCCCTTACGTACTCCATGAGAGTTTTAGAGATTTGTTGTACCTACCATAATAATATTTAGACTAGATTATGGAAAGCTCTAGAGAACCACTTCTAGCCATTGGATGGGAAATGTATTGTCATAATTCTAACCATTGGTTAAAGATGTGTCATTAGTATAAATGAGTGTGTTCTCAACCATTTTGTATCAAGTCAAAAAGAGATAGAATATTGAGTTGAAATAGAACAAGCCTCTTCCTTCTAAATCTTTCCAAGTTTTCCCCTTTCTCAATTATCCTCATTCCAATAAAGTGGTATCAGAGATATAAGATCCTTGTTAGAGAGATGACAAGTAGCGTATGGTTCATTTC